GAGTTGTTAGGTCTCCTTCGGAGGCGCTCGGGTAGTTGTTAGCAAATCCCATCCCTTCTGGCTGAGCCTTTGCTCGTCCACCTGTCCCGGTGAAACTGGAAAGGCCTCCGGGACACAAAAAAAAAGAGTGTAGTAACAACAGACTGACGAATTCTAAACTGCAGCTCAACTTAAATAATTCATAAAAATCTTTTGTGACCAAAATACTATAGAAGTATTCTAAGCAATCTATTCTTATATTTTTTATAATTGAAATCGTCACAAGGCTGTCGGTCTATGTAAAATTATGTGCAAAATGTATTTTTTTTTCTGCGGAAATCAGGTATCGGATTTCAATGATCGATGAAGTGGAAAACTCATTGACTCATTTATTGGTAGTTTTTATCGACTTTATAGGTCCACGAACTATCGCTCACTAGACTAAAAGTAATTTTTATTGCTTTGGTTCTTACATGAACGAATCCACGACTCAACTAATGCTAAATAGTTACTGGAGCTCATAGATAGATATAAGCCTGGCAATTACACCATCCACATTGAGACATGAGTTCTAAGCCTTAGTTTTTGTAGTACAACTGTTACTACTCCCTTCAAACCGAAACGCATTACTGCATTATAGCACAAATAGCAGTAATGCAAGCAAACGCATTACTGTATTATGGCATAAATGCATTATGGCGCAAATGGCAGAGTAATAGTACTTAAACGTGCGGGCTCACAAGAAGCCCTGATCATCAGAAATTGCGGGGCAAAGATTTGTGAAAATATAACTTAGTTTGAGGAAATTGAATGTGGAACAACAATTAAAACATATATATGTAGGCCTACCACAGATATACAATTGTTATATAACAAAACAATTTAATCCATATGTATTAATTATCCATATTCAGCGATAAGGCCGCCGATTTATATACCGACTTTTGTTTTATTACTTTACTGTGTACATATTAAGGTGTTATATAAATAAAGAGTTATTATTATTATTATGGGTTATGGATATATTTTTTTTCTCAGCTAATGCTGGTAAGTGTGAACCTAGCACGGGCTTACGCCAAGTGAGTTGGTTCATTGTGTAGTGTTGTAGGGGTTTGAGTAGTGGATGTAAGGAATCGTCGCACTATGGAACAGGTGTCGAGTATTACAGATTTTTGTAAAGCGATGTATGAATATTTATNGTTGGTTCATTGTGTAGTGTTGTAGGGGTTTGAGTAGTGGATGTAAGGAATCGTCGCACTATGGAACAGGTGTCGAGTATTACAGATTTTTGTAAAGCGATGTATGAATATTTATTAAGATCAAGTTCTGAGAGCGATGTGTGTAATGATTTTGGAATGAGTCCGGTTGATGAAATTATTATGGGTATAATTTTAACGGTGTGTTTATTATTATTATTATTATTATTATTATTATGCTTGTCACGAATAATTCAAGCTAAAGCTAATCGTTTAGTTGTTGTCTGTACGCATACAGACGATTCAGTCATCAGTGATATAAATAGTAGATCTTTATTAGTCTCTAACTCTGACTCTCTCATCGATAAGTTATTAGATCTGATTATTCGAGTCTAACATATTAACGATTCAATGTAATGGAAAATAATATGTAAATTAGCACCCAAAGTAACTACCCGAGGTCGTAAACAGCAAAAGGATAACCGACCTCATGGAGGATAAGTGACAGAAGTGAATCTTCCCACCAAGACGAATAAAGGTGCGCAGACTTCGTGCCAAGGAAAACCAGCCCATTCTTAAGTATCAAAATTTCAATACATTATAGTCCCCTTAAATACTGTCCGACTATTTCATCAAAAAGCAATTGATATTGTTTTAATTGTGAAATAACCCACGTCGATAATATACACGCCGCTATACCTCCTATAGACTTTCCACTTACTATATGAACAATAACAATTGAATAACAAATCATATTTTTTACGTAATACGCACCGGATCTTAATAAAATACGTAACATGCTACACAAGCGGCAGTTCTTATGACATATAAAACGAGTTCATTCGAAAAATAAATTAGCCTTTTTTTCGTAACTTGAATTAAGAACCGTGGAATAAAATAATAAATATACTAATAAGTCCAAATGTAAGCATTTAAACAAGGTGCAATTTTGGTCCTTTTTTTTTAAATACTCGTATTACTTAATAACTCTATACAGTTAATTCTTCTTTTTTTTTAGCCTTTTATTCAGATCCATACTACAATTATATGACTAAATATAATATTATATAGAAAACTTAAATTTTATTTAAACCTTAATCTAGCCTATTATTTGAATTTTTCTTATTTTCTGCAGATCTGTTTGCCAATTGACAAAGGCCTCCTCCAACCTTTTCCACTCATGTATTTCTTGAGCCACTCTGTTCCACGTGATGCCTGCCACTTGTCTTATGTTGTCCTTTAATTCTATAAGATTTTCTTCATTCTTCAGCGGAAGTACGTTAAGGGCTGCGACGGATATTTTTGTGTCTTTGTAGTTGTTTTTTTTTTGTATTGTTGGAGGGTTGTGGTCTTTATCCCCCACGAGGACCAGTCGGCTTGGGAGAAGAGTACATACAGAAAGTCATAATCAGTTGTCACGCACTTTTTTTTTAAACAGCCCGATTTATTTAATTTCGGCCCGCATGGTTGAATACTTAATAATAGTGTAAGAAAAAATGATTTTATTGTAAAAAAAAGCGTGGGTTGCTTTTCAGGATAATATCAAAATGACCCTTCTACTCTTATCTGCTCATAAAATACTTATATCTACTGATACCATGCACCCATTTAAAATATTGAATCGTCATCGGTCCTTAATAAGTATGCCAAATTTCGAGTTAATCCGACGTTTTGAAGGAGGTCAAAATCATGTTTAAAGATCTCGTTACATACTAACATACGTATGAAGCTACTATTAGCGTATTAAAATACGATATTTCGTTTATAACTCCGTCAGTTTGTAGTCGAATTATTGTGGTAGGCTACTTGCAAATCCATCGACGGATTTCTATGCCTACATATATAGCTTTTGTCTGGTTTGGACGAGGTGCTTCGCTAAAACATATGTTATTTTTTCTTTGGCAATGTCTCAACCTTCCAGTATTAAGTAGTTATAATTATCTTACTTGAATAACACGCAACGACGGGGTAGCCGTTGTACTGTTAAAAGTGAGACCTTACAACTTATGTCTCAAGGTGGGTGTCGGCATTTACGTTGTAGATGTCTATGTGCTCCGGTAACCATTTAACACCAGATGGGCCATGAGCTCGTTCACCCTTCTAAGCAATAAAAAAAACCTGTGTAGTATATTTTGATCATCAAACCAAATAATCATAATAATGACCAGTTGAACATTATGCCCGATGACATGAATGCGAACGATTGATCACACAATTGTTTTTTTATCATGGATTTCGCGGACGGCTCGTGGAAATTTGTTAATAAGCGAACAATCAACAATCTGATTATAACAATCGATCTATTCAGCCTAACGCGAGAATGAATATTAGCTACAAATTTCCAACGAAAACTCGTCCGATAGGTATTTGAAGTTAACTTAAAATTCTCAACTCAAAATTTCTGGTTAAGAACCCGAACAGGCCAACGAATCCATTAAACTGATTTATCATCGACATTTTTTATGATATGATTTTTGAAGGCGATAAATATATTTTTTTAGCTGCTTGGCATGTTTATCAGTGAAAACGGAGTTTCTCCGCGGAAATTATGTAATGTCCAATGAGTCAAGTCCGATATTTATGTGCCATCTACCTGTGTGTTCGAGAACGATATTGTCACACCGATCTCGGGGTATTTGTCCGTTTTCGTAATAGGTGACTTGGAGTCGGTTAACGAAGCCGTAACCCGTATCTATAGTTGAACGTTGAAATAAAATACTTTTATTGGAAATTGTATGCAATAACTGAATTCAAATATGTCGAGATACGATCAAATTATTCATTGCCTTCGTAAAGTTTCGTACTAGATTTTCAATAAAATGCATTTAAGAGACATTGTATTTTATTTATTAAAAATAAACATTTTTGGGACATGAGACATGACTATAGCAGAGGCGGATTTGTACACGCTTATTTCCACAATTAGTTTTTGTGTTAGAATAATGCTAGACTGAAAGATGAAGTGATTGTGGCAAGTTAAAAAGTTCCACAAGGACTTAACTATTTAGTCTCTTATTTAAGGTTAGCGTACAAAAATATATACGAGTACTCACAACTTTGATATCCACATCAAGTAAAAATACACAAAACCTACAATTAAAACTCAATTTACTTACTTCAAAAGTACCTTAAATAAACCTTAATGTCTAAGGTGAGCATTTATAATACAAATCTAAAAAAAATTTTAAATGTTAATGAAATATTTATTTTTTATTTATTTATTTATTTACACTTCATGTAAAATTTACATTGGCGGACTTAATGCCTAAGGCATTCTCTACCAGTCAACCAAAGGTAGTGCAGAGTAAATAGTGGTAGGTGCAATGAAGTTTAATATTTATACATGATCGAAACAGTTAACAATTGGCTGTTATGAGAAAAACTGTAGAGTACAAGAAACATTGAAAATTATGTAAAATGACGCGAGTTAAACCGTAAAACTAGGTTTAATGTATAGTATCTACGACACGTGAAACTAAAGAAAATAATATCCATCTAAATTAAAAGGCACGTTTTTTCCCCTACCTAATCGCTGATAACCTAAGAGGCTGTTCCAGCTACAACCGGACGGGTAAGTAAGCTCACGGGCTCAACCTAAGAGAATTTGCTGACACTAGTTCTAGCAGGAACAGTGCTTCGCAGAATCTACCACCGGATCGGAATCGCGACCCATTGAGAAGATCCTGCATGAAACTCAACGAGCAAATTGACACGTCGAAAATAAATTAAATATATTTTGTTTAAATCTGTTACTATAGATACATGTGTTCAGCGTTGGACAGCGGGCGCTGTGTGTTAGCCCGCGCGCCGCCAGTGCTACCGGGCCAAGAACGACGCACAGACGTCGCGACGAACAAACAAACCAGTAAACATGAGTGCAAAGTTCCTTTATCTCGCCGCTTGCGTTGCTTTCGGTAAGACCTTTAAATAACTCTAACCAAAATTCACAACAAAAAAAAACTAAATCTATTTATTCTTAATACGTCAAGGTCCTCTAGTTCGCACGTTCCGGCTATTAGTCTGGTATTTCAATTTTAAAGGTTATTATGCTATTAAATAAACCCAGATATCGAATTAATTTAGCGAGCGAGCGATTTAAAATGGGTTTCCTTTAATTTGCACTTATAATTTTTATAATTGTGCTGCTAGGGGTGATGTTTTTTATTAATTTTTCTATTTGATGGAGATTTTACATATTCAATATTGACTGGTTAATTACCGCTGGTCTGACGCTGTGAAAGGAAATTTACGTGAGCTCCAAGTGTCGGACGGGCAAGGGGTTGCGCAGCGCCGGGATGAATGCATAGAGTAAGATTATATAGATGAATGGCAAAGATTATTGTCGGAGGCCAAGACCCACTTCGGGGTCATGTAGTATAAATAGACAAAGGCTAACTTGATGTTAAGTTGTCATCGGAAGTCAAGGACAATTCAACATGAAGTTGAATTTCAAATTGTAAAATTGTATCAAAGCTATCGCTTTCTTCAAGTTTATTTTTTATTTTTTATTGCTTAGATGGTCGGACGAGCTTACAGCCCACCTGGTGCTAAGTGGTTACTGGAGCCCATATACATCTACAACGTAAATGCGCCACCCACCTTGAGATATAAGTTCTAAGATCTCAGTATAGTTACAACGGCTGCCCTACCCTTCAGACCGAAACGTATTACTGCTTCACGGCAGAAATAGGCAGGGTAGTGGTAACTACCCGCGCGGATTCACAAGAGGTCCTACCACCAGTTTGAAGTCCAGGTAGCACATAGTTACCATCATTCTGCTTCTCTCTGCTGCAGATTTAAATACTGCATTATAAATTATGAGTCAGCGCTGATATGTTTCCGTATAAGTAGTAAGTCAGCTTGATGTTTTGCCGTATAAATGGTAATTTAACATCGGTGTATTGCTAAATAGGTAACAATCTAAACAAAATCGCCCATGAGGTTTCAAGATGGCCAAGAGAATTTACAATCTAGTGGATTCTGATCGCCCCGACTTTTTACACTAGACGAGCCATCAGCTAGCCTGTTTGTCTGTATAACAATTAAAAATGTCCGAATTATACATTTCCATGATGCTAAAAAAACATTTCTTTTTTTTTTTCAATACAAAACAACACACCGTATATTGAAACCATTATGATTCAATTCAAATATTAAATCACGAATAAACAATACGAATATTGAGCCCCACATATAATACCTAATACTTGTTTTATTAATAACTCGGTCGCAAAGACTAGATTGACTCGTTTTACAACATACACATTTGTGGCTGAGAATGAATTAAAAAAACAGCTTTATACATCACATACTTATCGGTGAAATAGGCAAAGGTTGTTGGTTATTGTTTAAAATAAGAAAAAAAAACCTCATTGAACGTGCAACGATATTAATTGGAAAAAAAAACGATCATTCCAATCTTTACAGTGGCTTCTTGTGTTATTGGCTCACAACACTGAAAATAGAGTTCCGATCTGTAACTGCTTTTTTAGTATAAAAGCAGAACATGAAGTATAAATTTGTTAGTTAATTGTTAAAAAGAAATTTAAATAGATTATTTATCTCACTCCATTTTAAAATTAGAAAAAAATACATTCGTAAATACAGACAAGCGTACGGCCTTAAGAGTAAGTTGTCACGGTCGAAATAAATTAAAACTTCTTACAGATATTTTGGATAATGTGCGGTTCAACTGATATTCACCTTAAGTAGCTCAAAAAGGTCAAAGTGACTTTAACTGCTCCCCTCGGGACATAAGAGTGAAGTTTCAATTTCATCAGTACAAAGTCTGAGCTATCCTTTAACGCGTGGTTAATTTGTTGCGGAATTAGATCGAATCGTAACCATATTTAAAGGCACATTGCAGCCCTACCAATAATGCGTAAGATAAGACATATGTTGGGCCAATTCGGGTAAGATAAGTAACTGGTAATATACGGAACGCGGAGAAGGTCGTAGCTTGGAGCTCTTATATATTCAAATTTTACATTGAAACTTTTGTTAGTCCGATTTAGATTTTTTGCAAATATCTTCTGTACAATGTGAACTGTCGCTACATATAGGGTCAAAAAATATTCGCACAGAAATATGAACGTCGAAGATTGATATATCGAGTGGTGAAAGTCTATTTCGTGTAAGCGACATTTTTGTAACTTTATAAGAGACTCGCTGTACCCGACCGCTTCGCTGGGCATTTAAAATTAACTTTATTAATTCTCACTCCCACAAACATTCTCATCATTAACGCCCCCCCAACTGGTGTAGGGAGTCCAACATTCATATAAATATTAGCCTATCCATTAAGTAGATGTATTTTCTACATGGATACCAAGTTTCAAGTCAATCGGATGCATGGTTCAGTAGTTATAACGGAACATCCGTAAAAACCACTGTAGATTTATATATTAGTATAGATTCATTTGAATTTTGGCAAAAAAATATCCAAATAATACTTCTTCAGCTATTTCGATGCAGCAAACTTAAGTGAAGTTCCATTAAAAACATTGAACTGTTGATGCCCATACCAAATAAAACGCACCTCGAATTACAAAATCATCATAAATGTCGCGTATTAGGCGAAATGTTGTTTATAAACCAAATACCCTCCTTTCATCCTCGATATGTATTATTAGACGTCAGCTATCAATGAACTTTGCAGTTTTTGAATTAAGAATCAGGTGTTGTAACGTACGCATATCGGCGCGGGTCGACCCAAATAGATCATATTGAATTTATATTTTATGGACACTGCACATGCGCACCTGCGAGCCTTGAGTCTCGAACCTCTATTCCGGCTCCCTTTCGAATTTATTGAGCAACGGAGCAAAGGAAATCCAATTCGAAACAATTATCGGTGTGAGGCCGACTTTTAATTGTTGATAAGACCGGTTGAATCGAATTAATTTGTATTTATATAGTTTCTGTGCACATTCCTAATGAATACGCATTCGAAAGAAACATACTCGATGTGCATGTGTAGAAAATTGCGTGGGGGCTCCTAATTTGAATACTAACTTGAATTAGTTACTAAGTAATTAATTGCCACGATGAAGTAATAATATGGTGTCATAGAATCAAACCCGAAGAATTTGGTATTACGGCTTCGACCTAATATCTCGAAGTTGGTTCGTAATGTTAAGGGAGCCGTAGCGACTACCAATTTAAAAAAAAACTGTTATAAATTGTTTTTGTACTCATTAAGTTATGGCACTATGTTCGGGACTGTCATACAGATGTCTCATACAAAAGACTTTAACGAGCGTAACACACATTTATGAATCATTTAATTTATTTTATTGTTGGTAATAAAATTAAATTAAGTGTTAAATTTATTTAATCACCAGTACTCTTACGCGTGAATAAGGTCGATCAACGACTACCTTACATAACCGTAATTACGATTTGTCAGTAAAATAATAAAGGAACGCCAAACAATTAACACGCAGCTTTCTTTAGATTTTAATCTTAATGAAACTGTACACTCGAACAAAAGACTTCAACGAGCTGTAAGCCTATCAGTCATTTATGATGTAAGTTTATCAGTCATCTTAGATTCGCAATTCGTTGTAATAGAGGGGATTAACACTGGTTACGCTTCGATTTCCCAACTGTACTCGTTGTTAGTGTGACTAATATCAATGAATAACCAAAAAAAATTTTAATTAACGCAGCGTCACAAATAAATACTTAGTGGTCCGTAAAAAAGAGTTCAACGACCGTCTTACGTAACTGATTGTTATTAATTGACAGTCAATAGTGTAAGCATGAATAGATCCAAAATTCTTAAGGTATTCTTTACGGACATAGCTCTTTCATATAAAAGAGTTCAATGAGAGCTTTGTTGTAACCTTGTGTCAAGTTAACCTTAGTTGTAGTCATCCTTCAAGAAATCACCTTTCAAAATAAAGGTAAAAATTCGTACCCCGAACTTATTGCTTAATTTAAATTAATTATGAGAAAAAATATATTTAAAAAACAATTTATTATTTTACCAATAGAATATATGACACTGTAATTTTCTGTGCTCTAAATGTCCCCGGGTTGTTATTTGCACAATTAATATTTGATATGACCACGCCAGATAACTCGACACTGTCAACAAAAACTATAAAAGTTTCAACTCAATCATATATAGGTAAATGAAAACAAACCTCCAAAGATTTATTATTTAACCAATAAAAATTTTATATGCCTAATTACGAATACGACGTGGGAGCTTAATATTTTCAGTGGCTGAGTGATTTATGATCGCGGCTCCAAACTTATTAACAAAGCTATTAAAATTTTCATATCTGATTAAATTACGTTCCATATTTTAGTTTCAAACGTAAAATCCGGGCTTTGTAACATTATTTAATCATTAATGTTTCAATTAATTCTAATTTTAAATTTCACATGTTTTTTTTTTGTTGTTGTTTCAAAATGCAAATTTAATCGCATCACTACCTCGATACTTTCTTCGCTTTCGTCGACGGCTCTCAAAGTTGGATGTTGGAGAAGCGAATAGAATATTCAATATGTAGTTTTGTTGCAAGACGCGCTGTTTGTGAGGTGAAACCGCTAGTCGTTACGTAACCGTCTCGTTAACGTTTGACATCTGACACATAATGTATACGAATTCAGTGTTTTGCTGTTAACGCCTTATCTTTACGTAACCCGTCGTAGTAATAACGCAGAAATGTGTGATCATCAAATAATCGAGTCGATAAAGATTTAAGAAAACGCCCCTATCAAACACAAACCACAGTAGAACATCACCCTATTATCGTCTTCTGTAAATATGTAGGTATGTCGTGGAGTACAACCTCTTTGACAGGTCATACGGCCTACTAGTCATAGACTAAAAAGGAGACTTAACATCGTCGCTGTCAAATCAAAATCTGCTCTGTGCAAAAACTCTATTTTGCATTAAGGA